ACACATAGGTATTTGTAGAAGTCACATGGAAGTTTGAAACACACAAATATAAGGAAGGACTGGTGCTTCACTTGTTTCAAGGTTTATATATTAACAGAAACCTCTTGTGACAAGCTACCCCAAAAGTATGACATGTGAACACTTTAGACTATGTTTGAAAATTGCATCTTTTGACAACATACACTTGATATAAAAACATCCTGTACAAACTCTTGGCAGTACTTCTACACTGCATACAACAAATATCATTGTTTGGTGCAAGGAGTTTTGTCACAGGACAAGAGTTCTGTCCCTTGAATGAAAATCACATTTTTGCCTTTCCCTTGGGAGAACTACACCTAATTATTTAATATGGTGAGACTTACAATGGGAAGTCCTGTTGACAAAAGCTTCATCATACAAGCAAAAACCTACAAGGATAACCATGAAACTAATATTGATAAACATCGCTGTGGAAGGCAATGAAGCTTCATGCTACAAATGATATATTGCACTTATTAACATCAACAGTTTATAATTCAAGATGTAGCAAATTGCAGCAACAATACTTACAAATTGGACTGTAACCAACAGCGACTGGGTTTACCTTTAAATAACACTACATCCTGCACATTCAGTGCCAGGTTGCAAAACTGACATATTCTTATTTGCCTCAAGGATCATGGATATCTCTGCTGACAACAGGGTGAGTGAGTGAGTATGGTTTTAAGCTTACTTTTCCCGGGACACCAGAAATATTTGGAATCATGGAGTTCCCTACGGATGTTTAGAATGTGTTCTGGTGTTCAGAATCAAGAATACTTCAACAGATATTTAGAATCAAGAATATCCCTTTTGCTGTTTAGAATCAAGAATATATATACAGAGGTTTAGAATCAAGAGTATCTCTACACAGGTTTAGGACAACAATATGGATACAGAGGATTCTCTTCTGATTTTTTAGAATCAAGAATATTTCCTTTGGTGTTTAGAATCAAAGATACCTCAACATGTGTTAGAATCGCTCGTGTTTGAAATTATGAATATCGCTTCTGATGTTCAGAATGAAGTATATTTCTTCTGGTGTTAAGAATCAAGGATATCTTGACTGATATGATGAAATGCATCTGGCAGTTTTCTCATGTGACCAATTATGTCAGCTTGATTACGAACCTAGAGGAACCCTGTTATACATCCTACACAGTGCTATAATTAAACATTATGTAATTTAAGTACAAAACAAACGCGAGCATACATTGAGCCTCCAGAAAATGTCAACATATTAACCAATCATTTGACACGTTTCTCAAACCACTGACTGAAATGAAACTTAAAGCACTTATTGATGTTTTACAATCCCTGGAGCGTGGGTATGAAAAAATGAAAAATAAATATGATGCGTTGCCATGGTTACAGGACTTCAAGTGAACAGAACTTGATTTGTTACAAACACAGGGAGTACATCTACAGAAAGATTATGCTTCACATTGAAGAAGGGTAAGAGTAAAATAAAGGTTGGCCTGAAACAGTATTCATGAGTTGTGTGAAGAGAATACAGGCATGTAATGACTAAGATAACAGAAAAACACTATCTGTCCGAACAAGAAACACAGACAAGTCCTGAGCAAAAGGAACAGCAAAATATCAGAGTTGTTCCTGTATACAGCAATATAACACTTATGTCTCCTATCTTATTTATGTATTACCATGGTTACCAAGCTGAAAGGTGAGGTGAGGTGAAATTGGGTTTAACGTCGTGCTTGAGAATATTTCGCTCATATGACGACGTACCAAGCTGAAAGGTTTCTCCTTTATCCATGTGCAGTGAATAAAGCTGTATTCATACAAAATGTCAATGTTTCATGAACATTCTATGTTCACTGAAAATGTATACATTATTCGATTATGTCTATTGTAATTTCATCTGCACTTTCTACCAACAAACATTGATTACATTTAATGTCCACTTCCCTTGGATATGTCCTTGTTTATTACATATTCTCTTTCCTTGATGTCATCCATGTTTATCAGACACTTCGATATTACATCCAAAACATCCATGTTTATCAGATACATCAATGTTCATCAAATACATTCATCACATTCATGAACCTTCAATACATCCATGAACATTGATTTAAGCCCAGCATTCTCAGCCTTGCTTCTGAGGAAATGAAAAATTGTTGTTCCAGGAATGAGCTGCCATACACTACAAGTTTGTATACACAAATCATATAGCAGGGAAAATTTCACAGTCACACGTCTGAAGAAAATGTGGGATCGATGTAACCTTTTCATGACATGATTCTGCATTAAACAAAGCCTAGAAGTCAGCCTGTCAATTTCTCCTCATATATCCAGTCTTTCTGCTCTTTGTTAAAGGGACAAATAACGCAAACAACACACCACAACAACTTCAGTATCTTCCGGGCCATCATTTCAATACACTGCACTAAGCCCTGGATCCATTCCCTGGCTATCACAACCACTAATTACCTCCCTTTGATTTTCACTGACAGTTTACTAACCAATCACTGACCAACCGACTTTCGGCAATACTCCAGCAATGTCTCAGCATGGGACACTGCAAATTTGCTTCACAGAAAAATATAATGACAAATATTTATCGACAGCCTTTTTTATTTTGTGAGTGTGACATGACGAAACAGATTTTTGTACCATTGTCAAGCAGTAACGGTACAAGAACCTGTATCGAAACATTGCACTCAAAAATATAAAAGTAGTTATTCATAAAATATTGTCACTATTGTACTTCTTAACTACTCAAATGTCACTCAAAGAAGACCCCCAAAAGATGTATGAGGGCTTTGTGTTCTGTGTTAATGAGTTTTTCAAACAAGAACCAGAGGAGTAGATCTGGGGAAAGAGCATAAGTTTACTGAAACCCGAGCCCTGGAATTACACAGTATGATCAACACACTCACATACAAATCTGTGGAAAAATCTTGTTCATTATTTCTCATGGGTAAATTCAGACTTTTTCAATCCAGTAGCAAAACAAACGACCACCAAAACAGAACAGCCTGGGTACATGAGGAAATACGAGTATTGTCAGAGATAAACAGATCCCCTGAAGTTTGAAGATGTTGATGAGGTTGCAATGTCAAGGTTACACACCATGAGTTCAGTCCAACTAGTTCTCAGTTTAACATGGTGGTTTTTGTACACGATGTAATTAGCAGAGGACTTGCCTTGGACTAAAGAATAACACGCCAGTCCCATGCTGGTAGTAAGGAATATAAGAGACACCAGTAATTAGTATCCATATGATGTAATTTTCAAATTTAATATGTTACCAGTGTCAATCTGTCACTTTGAAGGACAGTAGTTTTTATGCAAACAAGAAATATTCTTTTGCATGTTATCTAATCATCCAACCTCCACAACACAATCTGAAACCAGTTTACATGACAATGAGGTAAACCGGTCAATTTCGTGTTTAAAAAATGGTAATGTATTTTAGTCAATTTGTGCAACATATTTCACTTAATATTGGCATAAATTGGTTAAAAGTATCTTTCTTCTGGCAAATTTGATGGATGGCATCTCTTTGAGTGCCTCTGTCTAACCCAGGATGTAATTCACTTCTTGCAAACTGTTGATGTTGATGTTGATGATGATGGAGTTGCCCGAGGCTGTGACCATGATGCAGATCTCAACACAAACCACTGAACACAGGGTGTCAACACTCGTCCACACAGCATGGGGAGAATCATACCCTACAGGACAAACTGTCTACAAAATCCTGCAAAATTGGTATTTCAAATCTGACAGAGTAAAGGTGAAAAAGGTGACCTAAGTAATCGCTCCACACCTAGTCATTATCAACAAACAGACTTTGTTTTTTTTATCACCAGAAATTGAAATACAGAAAACAATTTTGACAAAATGATGGATATAACAAACTGTTTGTTATATAACCACTTGCTGTTTATTTAAGTCAAAATGTGAATAACAAACAGCTGTTATTATGAACTAAAATTAGTGGTGCTTTTGGGTTTGTTATTATAACTGTAGTTAACTGTAGATTATAGAAGATTTCTGTAGATTTCTTAGATTATAGAATATGAAGAGAACAAAGCTATTGTCACAGAATATCACAGGCTACAAACTTCAAGTCCAGCTATCTAGGATATTGAACACATGGTAGTTGTGACACGTAGACAACTGTTACCGTAATCTACATAATTAGTGCTGCAGGCTTTCAACCATAAAATACTTCGAGCAATATACTGACAATCAAGTTATTTGTGATGTAGGGAGCTGAGAGTAAATAGAGAATCTCACCCAAGTGTCTTCTGATATCTGACAATCAAGTTATTTGTGATGTAGGGAGCTGAGAGTAAAACCTGATCTGCTTTTACTCAGTATGCACACACATACAAAATGGACTCCGACTGACTGACTGACTGAGTTTTAGTTTTACGCTGCTTTTAGCAATATTCCAGCAACATCACGGCGGGGGACACCAGAAATGGGATTCACACATTGTACCCATGTGGGGATTCGAACCCGGGTCTTCGGCGTGACAAGCCAACACTTTAACCACTAGGCTACGCCGCAGCCCCGAAATGGACTCCGAGTTTGGTAGCTCAAGATAGTACCCTGCTGGGTATCCATGTTGTCCTGCTGGGTATCCATGTTGTCCTGCTGGGTATCCATGCCCTTGGAGCATATGTACTGTGAACCAGTTGAGTGAGTGAGTGAGTTGGGTTTAATGCCATAATCCAGTTGTAGAACACCATGTCAGCTTTATGTAGGCGGTAAACCTGAAGAGATCCAAGTCTTTGACATTTACCACCTTGGTGAGACCCATGAGCATGGTTACATTGCTGAACCAAAATTCTCAATCATGGTGATTTGGTAATTACTGAACCAAAATTCTCAATCATGGTGATTTGGTAATTACTGAACCAAAATTCTCAATCATGGTGATTCGGTAATTACTGAACCAAAATTCTCAATCATGGTGATTCGGTAATTACTGAACCAAAATTCTCAATCATGGTGATTTGGTAATTACTGAACCAAAATTCTCATTCATGGTGATTCGGTAATTACAACCTATGACAGTAGGTTTCTGGCATACTCAAGGGCCCTGTGAAGAGCACCACTTTTAATAAATGGACCTGCTGTGCTGGCTCAATAGCTGTTATCTTGTTGTTCAGTATAGTGTGACACTAGCTCTGTTCATCTTCATCATATCTTTCATTTAAGTTTCAACATTAAAAATATAACAATCTCAGAATGTAATATAAATACTGCAAACAAAGTACAAAAGGATCCAATTATGCCAGATTTGTATAAATTCTCATGAATAGGACAACACATGTTAATTCCTCTTTACCGTTACCATGGAGACACACAGACTCCAACTGGCTGTCTACATTCCACAACTACCTGTCACGGAAACATAAACAAGAAATCGGTTGGACACAGTTAAATCTGCAATTGAATAAAAACCTAAAACGACAGATACTATCAATGCCAGCCTTTCCAGAGGTAGATAGCTCCACTTATAACCACTCCGGCGCCAAGGACAAGCAGTACCTGTTTGCTAGGTGTCCCAAAGTATTCCACTATGGCTTCCTGCAAATGAAGGAGAGGACATATTAGAGACATAGCATCCATGTTGTTTCAAGTGTAACAGTGATCTCTCTTGATGATGCGGATCTCATGGACGACCATCTCTGTTAACAGACACTTGTGTTATTGGTAACATTTATTGTAGGTTTGGTGATAGTTCAACTAATGTAAAAAGGAATATATGTGTATCACATGAAATGTTTGGTAGATCTCATGGACGACCATCTCTGTTACCAGACACTTGTGTTATTGGCAACATTTATTGTAGGTTTGGTGATAGTTCAACTTATGTAAAAAGGTGAGGTGAGGTGAAATTGGGTTTTAACGTCATGCTTGAGAATATTTCGCTCATATGACAACGTGCATGCGTGTGTATGCGTATGTGCGGCTGCTTGTACTAGCCCAGACTTAAGCTGGTTTTATAGTGCTAGCCCACTGAGATACCACGCCGCAGTGAAGCATGAATACCCCATTCAGACACATTATACTGACTCTGAGCCGACCAGTCTTTGTTGTACCCATTAATGCCGAGCGCCAGGCAGGGACCAACAAGTACCATATTGTAACGTCTTTTGGTATAACGCGGTCGGGGATCGAACCCGCGACCTTCCGTCTCTCCGGGCGGACGCTCTAACCACTACACCACGGAGGCGGTCCTTATGTAAAAATGAATATATGTGTATCACATGAAATGTTTGGTAGTCATTGGTTACAGCAGTTTAACTGGATTCACGTTTTTGTGATGGATGACTGAATAATGATTGGGAAATGTGAAACTGTTCTCTTTGTTGAAATTGAAATATATATCTGAGACTGAAAGAATTCCAGTTTCTTAACTCTCATTCAATACTTTGTGTGTACCTACCCAGCCACCTCTGTCTATAATCCACTGTGATACTTTTTCTCTCAGGAAGTCTATCACCAAGTTGATGATAGCTCGGACTAGAGGTATCTTATCCAAGGCCTGGAGGAAAACAAGAAGCATTAGTGGTTGGTTCCTTTGACGAGGACTTCAATACACCCTCTTTAATTGTTAGTTGTTTAATGGGTATGGCATGATGGGGGACGGAAAGCCCAAAGTTTTGGAACTTGTAGGCACTGAGAACACTTAACCATAGCTAAAACAGCCAAATGCAAGGCCTTTTCAATGCAATGATCTAAAAAGAAGACTAAGGTGTTCTTTCTGCTTATTTATTTTGACATTATTACTTTGACACACATATGTGCATCCATTTTATCAGTGGGTTATTATGGTATCAAATTATTCAATTCTACAAATGTCTCAATATCATTTCTCCATCAAGTTACAGACTAATATTTTGCAGCATTATGCAATGCTGATACAAATCACCATGATGTAATCATTTATCAGTAACAATAATGGATTCCAGAAACCTTCACATTTTTATGGCAGATTCCAATTCAAAGCATTTGTATTTGTGTTATGTTATCAGTACATGTATGATGGATGCAGCAAAGAGACCAAGGACCATAACTAGGGTTATCTGGTTATTTGATTCAGGTTCCACCAGTCTGTGGTACAAACCACAGATTTCAAACACAAAGGCCAAACCTCAACACCGACATCAGGAACAACAAAGGACTGAGCAGAATCATGATTTTCTGATAAGTTGAACATGAGATATATCCCACCTTGAGAGCCATCTTGTAAGCAAAATAGAACAGTGCCACCACTCTGCCCCAGTTGAACACTCCATCGCTGAATATGGACTGGGCTACGTTGAGGAACGTGCTCCGCTGTGCATCTGGCGGGACCTGGCTGATCAGGCTAGAAAACAATAGGTGAGTGAGTGAGTGAGTTTAGTTTTACGCTGCACTCAGCAATATTCCAGCTATATGGCGGCTGTTTGTAAATAATCGAGTCTTGACCAGACAATCCAGTGATCAACAGCATGAGCATCGATCTACGCAACTGGGAACCGATGACATGTGTCAACCTGTCAACCAAGTCAGCGAGCCTGACCCCGGATCTTCAGGGGTAGGAAAACAATAGGAGGAATGAAATTGTTAAATCTATCATCTGTCCTAAGCTTCCTAAAACAATTCACCTTTATTTCTTAACCACCTGCGAAAATATACCCCTTTCTGTAATATCCAAGAAGACTCAAATCCCTTTCTTTGAAAGTTGCATGCAAAAATATGAGAAACCAATCAAAATGTGCATATGACTTCAAATACTTTGTTTAAAGAATCCTTCAGGAATAACCTTTGAATCTACATAGATTTGGTGTCTAAAAGGTATACCCAATCATACTGTATGTCAGCTGAAGTCTGATGTTTTTTAAAAAGCATCTGCAATGTACATGATAGGTGGGACAAATTCCCATTCTTTAGCTATGTTCGTCCGTGCTTAGACAAAATCAACCATAAAATTCATAACAGCTCAGCTTAATTTTTTCAGTAATCTGTCCTCAACAAATTGTTACTTTATTAGTTTCACTGATTTCAAAAGTGACACGCCAATATGAAGTGTTGTAAACTATGATAATAATGAACTCAGTGGGACCACTAATTTTAGTTTATTATAAGTTCATTATTACATGCTTTTTGACTTAAATATAGAGCAAGTAACCAAGAAAAACAACAGGGCCTAGATTTTCGAAGCTCTCTTAGCGTTACGATAGTCGTATGTACCATGCATTAACATTAACTTACGACTATCTTAGCACTAAGAGAGCTTCGAAAATCTAGGCCCTGGTTGTTATATCTGTCAGTTTGTTAAAAGCATGTTCCTTATAGATGTACTTTACTGTAATTGCACATAAGATTCCGACGTGATGTAAGTCTTACTTCTGTAGCCTGACGTCTCCATCCAATTGGTCTCCAATACATCGTAAGGCTCGTGCTATCTCTGTTGTGTGCTGCATAGGGGGGCCTGTGGAAATAATACAAGCACTTTCTTCAAGTAGGTTTATACAGCACATCAGTGACAATCACAATCCAAGGAAATTCACCTCTGTTTGAAACTCCTGGTATCACCATGACGACAGAGCAAATGGCACAGTTACCATGGTTACAACGACCAGGTGGTCCCTGATAGAAGGGCTGTCATTTATTGGAAACTATAGTATAAGTGGGCTTTTTAAATGTTGTTTTGTGTTTTTACCCCGCATTCAGCAACATTCTAGCGGTACGACAGTGGCCTGTAAATAATCGAGTGTGGGCCAGTCAATCCAGTGATTGATATTGTGAACATCGATCCATGTCGGCAGGGTATTCTAACATGTCATCAACCAAGCCAGAATCTGACCATCGATCCATCTGGTCACCTCGTTTGACCAGCAGAGGACGCTGGAGATTAATTCCAGTCATGAATTCATGCATAGATTTTCCACTCCAAAGTATCATGACATCTTATAACAAATTTAAGTAGGTTTCACTATTCTGTATTTGACAAAAGTACCTATGTAAAACCCTGATGTAATGGCAGATAAGATGAGCTGTGAAATGTTTACAATCCATTTTCTGCATTCTCAATGTCTGTTATACACGTTCTAACCATGGTTGGTTGGTTGGTTGGTTGGTTGTTGTTTAATGCCACACTCAGCAATATTCCAGCTATATGACGGTGGCCTGTAAATAATCGAGTCTGGAAAAGACAATCCAGTAATCAACAGCATGAGCTTCGACTTATGCAACTGGGATATGATGACACAGAAAGAATGCTGGACAAAAGGGCTATGACAAATGCTCACGTGAAATTCAGGTAGCAGAGCTAAACACATTTTTAACAATTCATATCTGGGCAAAAGCTGATTATTTTCCCAACAATGTCTCCCGGTGTTTATATTCCATATTGTGTGGACATATCGGCTTACCACAAGGAGTGCCTGGTTCTTGTAGTTCATCCAGCGCAGGTGCATGCTGTATTCCATCCTGCTGCATACGATCATGGATGAAGGTGTTGAGCAGATAGCGGCCTTGATTTGTGATGTCATCACGACTCAAGTGTCGATCCACTGGTGGTTTGGCTGTAAACAGAAACAATAAAGGTTTTGAAGGGAGTTTTGCAATTAGTATTCAGGGCTCCAGATAAGGGCCGTATCGACGTATGTACTGATAAAAAATATGCACGATACGGTAGGAAATAATTTTGAAAACGTAGCAGATACGCACCACAGCAATGGTGTACTAATCATTTACAGACGTATTTATATGAAACGTATTGTTTTATTGTTTATTGACCTGTTTACACAAGAGTAGCAATGTTGTGGTGCATATACCAAACGAAACACAAGATTACTGATTACTGATTACTAATTTCCATTCAGTACTCTAAATGTACTCTTTAGGTTTTTTTTCCAGTACTCCTATATTGAAAAAATAAGTAGTACGTACTCCTGATGTTGAAAAATTATCTGGAGCCCTGAGTATTTGTATTGGAACCAGTTATTTACATTAAGAATGGTAGTGGGGATTCTTAAAGTTAATGTTTCTGCTACAGTCCTTATCTGAAGATAACCAATGTTCTAACATTAGCAGGGAATAAAGGAATCACTGACACTTCCATGAATTCAGCAATAATACTTCTGTATTCCCTTCCTACCATAGGCGGGCGGTGGGGTGGTGATCGGAAAAAAACTAACAGGAAAAAAGACACGAAAAAAAAAAGTAACAGATTTTGCTAGGAAGAAAAGAAAGACCTTTTCAGTTGTTTGTTTTTTATTTATTAACAAAGTGTAACAAAACTTGTGTGGCTTGTATACAACTGGATCTTCTACGTCTAAAGCTGTGCTTGGGCTAGCACGGCAGTCTGACTTAGCACGCATACTACATTCCCACCAAAGCTTGTTTTTTGATGATCAAAGCTCACCCTAATCCTAATTAAGTGTTTATATAAAAACTGTTACCTTTGTTCCTGTTACTTTTGTTCCTGTTACTTTTTCTCCTACATTCGGTGGGGTAGCCTAGTGGTTAAAGTATTCCCTCACCAACCCTAAGACCCAGGTTCGATTCCCCAAATGGGCACAATGTGTGAAGCCCATTTCTGGTGCCCCCTGCCGTTACATTGCTGGAATATTGCTAATAGCGGTGTAAAACTGAACTCACTCACTCCTACCATAGGCATCAATAGAGTTAGAATTAATGCTGCTTTCAACAATATTCTGGTTATATCAGAGCTAGTCAGCTTAATGTTGGAGGAAAGCATGAAATTATGCAGGTCTCAAACATTTACCAATTTTAGGTATGGCTAAACCTGAAGACATTATTGGTGTGAACCAGAATTTGAACACCGAACTGAGGTTTCTGGTGACCCAAGTGATGCGACATAGGTCTCTTTCTGTTTGAAAGACTGACTGAGTTTGGTTTTACGCCGCTTTTAGCAATATTCCAGCAACATCACGGCGGGGTACACCAGAAATGGGCTTCACACAACTGAGGTTTCTGGTGACCCAAGTGATGCGACATAGGTCTCTTTCTGTTTGAAAGACTGACTGAGTTTGGTTTTACGCCGCTTTTAGCAATATTCCAGCAACATCACGGCGGGGGACACCAGAAATGGGCTTCACACATTGTGCCCATGTGGGGATTCGAACCCGGGTCTTCGGCGTGACGAGCCAACGCTTTAACCACAAGGCTACCCCACCGCCCCCTGTGTGAGAGAAGTGTTGAAACATGGTGAAAACTTTCCCTTGAGCATTTCTCACGTCTGGGGTAACTACTCAACCTAAAAAATTAAGGTCTGATGATGCAAATGTTTTACATGTTATGTCATATACGCATGACAGTCCAGCAAGAGAAATTATCAACAGAGTTAAGAAAACAAACATCGATCAAAGGATCTACCGACAACATGTTGATTTATTAATTACTCTTATCATGCACAATGGATTTGTCAAAAGTTTATAGTATGTACATTTATTATGCACACTGAATACACCCATATCCTGTCGTAAAGTGCCCGTGTAAAAACAACGTTTTTTCTTCAAAGTAGTGCAATATGTTGATTGATTGCTCATTGTTGTCCTACTAAATTATTTGTTTAAAGAATGGTGGACATCATGTAAGTAGTTGTCAGGTGTGCTATTTGGGTGACAAATGAGACTATATACCAGTGGGGAAAGCCTGAAACACCAGTTGAGAAACTATTACGAGTTATAATGTTACATACAATTTTTCAATATTAGATTCTAAAAAAGACACATAAAATGGAACAGGTTTCTTTGTCAGCTGCAGATGAATGGGATATCATTCCTTTATGTGGATGTTGACGGATACATTCATCGAACAAGGTAATAGCCTGATATTATTGCTATTTAGTCGGTTTTAATTTTGATATTTATTCATTTGTTGTAGCATTCAACAGAATCATTCCACTTCATTGTGAAGTTGTTTGATGCGAGACAGATGACATGCACTAGGTTGCACATAGTGCATGTATGTGTGTGAAATATTATTCACTTAGGCAATATATAAAATGTCTGGATATAACAGTCACTATAACAGATTGTGTACTGTTTATGAGGTTCCAAAGTGTAGTGTTGGGCAAGCTGTCTAAGGCACCAGGCTAGTGATCTAGCGAGCTTAAGGTGCCAGGATCGAGCCCACCTGTGACCGGGTGTAAAAAACCTTCAAGTCAACTTTGTGTGCAGACCTCTCAGACTTGTTACCCCTAGTGTACAGTACACAACCCTGTGCACTTAAAAGAACCCACGATCCATTGGTATATGACCAGATGGTGGCCACATGAATACGTGTAAATGCCTAGTTGTAGGTACAGCAACGTGCAGTAAACTTGGACAAAGTACTGTGATTATGTGTTCCAGTCCACCCAGCTGTGAATGGGTACCTCGTAAGGATGGGAAAGTCACATTAACTTGGTGCACTTAATGGCTGCAAGAGTTGATCCTGAAGAAGTTGAGATTGAAAATATGATGTGAAGCTGAGATAGACATCCAATGATTAAGGGAAACAAAGCACCTTGAGCAGCTGACCTTGATATTGGCAGTATACAAATATTAGTATGTATGTATTTAAATATATAATAATAAATTAATCATGCTAGGATAGGATAGCCGAACTATAAAGACATTTATTGACTTGGTTTCATTTTACCACTGGCAGATGAAGTTAGACTTCAAAACATTTGGATTTGTTGTCATAATAATCAAGATGGAAATATCAAGGGGTCAAAAAGATGACTATATTTCTCCAATTAATTCCAAGACGAAACTGTATTTTATCCTTGTTGATCAACTTGTATTTTATCCTTGTTGCCAATTGCGCTTGCGGTTGGTGAAGCAGAAATCACAACCCAGTCAAGAATTCTGGGATATCATATGGGTACTCATGGGGGTAAAGACAATAACAAAAGCAACAACCAGTCCCGGGGAATTGCTCTAGATCAGTGTCCCTTTAATGAAGAAGTTTCTCAAGAGATGGTGTCAACTGATCACAGTGTGAGAAAGCACTCTGAGAGAGTTTAGGCTCACTAAATACAGTGTTTATTCCTAATACAAGATAGTAACCTTATAAAACCACACTATCAATTTGTGTTAACCTTTATTCATTATAATGACATTTGACATATGTTTATTCAACTGTTAAACTTTTCTATTGGCTTAGGAGCATTGTCGAGTTTCAACAGTTCAACAGTCAAAGTCTAAACAGAGACCATCTCTGGTCTAAACAAAACATTTATTATTGCTGTGGACTGGACGTTATACTCAAATGTATTTCAGTCTGGACACTTTATGAAATCAAATATACTTTCGAAAAACAATAGTCTTCGATTTAGGTTTTGACTTAGACCTTGTACAAATTATATTATCATGTAACCTTCCCGCTAAAAAAAACAGATAATTAAACAAGAAATATTCCGCTTGACCTATTAACAAAGTAATTCTCAGAAACTCCACTGTGTTTTCATGTCTGTTACGATGTACCCCTTACAGCATGGAAGGCTTTATACCTAGGCCTACCGGCACTTGTCACTCGACCCTTGCTTACTGACAAACTGCACCACGAAATTAGGATACTTTCAGGTGAAGATCGGGTCTAAAGGCAATGCATGCATTCAAATCATTCGTATATCCTGGTCGGTACTTCATACTCACATCTGGCTAGTGGATGAAACCGTTCTCTACTCATCTTATCGATAGATACTGAGTTTACTGAAATATATTTACGGAGGGCACACACTCCACTTTGAGTTTGTCAAAGCGCCGATCACTTCCGGGGAGCTAACTCTTGCAGACAACTTCACCGGGAAATTTCCACAGCTGTATAAAAACAATATGCTACGTCTGTTGTATCAGTCATACTCTATCTGAACATTTATTTATCTATGTCTAGAGTGTGTATTTATTTATTCATGATTATCTATTCTCGAAGCATGTATTTATTTGTTTAAATGGTATTTTACATTCTTGTTCTAGCAACCGTGTGTTTTCCCGCCATATGTTCTTATGCAGGTAATACTGAATACGGTGTAGATCTACATCCTTACTTGCATTATGGTCGGGAAATGGTCGTCACTAAATTTTGTTGACTAAAATACGACCAGGATGTCACGCAATCATTTTCGACTCTCTCTTCTGAATCTCTGTATGCCATACTTTTAAAAAAGGTACGGGGAATTCAATAAAAAGGTGCTACATCTAATGCTATTTTAGATCTTTAATGAGATAAATAGTTTACAGTGTAACTGGGACATATGACTTAGATTTGCATTAGTCGTTGGACGTCAATCAATCAATCTTTATTTCATACTGAAAGGCCACAGTTAGTACAATAATTATTCACGTGTGGGTAGTAGTACATTTTTTCTCAGAATAAAAGCTTTGTCTTTGTGGGCAGATTTTCTAAATGTCTTTTACTGGAATTATTCATCAATGATATTAACTTATGAGTTTCATGATGTACATGATAATATTTCTTCAAATATCTATTTCCTAGTGTAACGATAAGTATGCCGGACAAACACATAAAAATGAAATTCATGTTAGGCATCATTTCTAAAAGTTGCACATTTGACGGATTCTATTTTCATTCTTAATTCATCGGTATCTCCCAGTTTCAATATATAAATAATGCGCAGAGCAGCGAAATCTCGCCATTGAAGATTTATATTTCCTTATGGTCAAAAGTGAGTGAGTTTAGTTTTACACCGCACTCAGCAATAGTCCAACTATATGGCGGCGGTCTGTACATAATCTAGTCTGTACCAGACAATCCGGTAATCAACAGCATGAGCATCGATCTGCGCAATTGGTAACCGATGACATGTGTCAACCAAGCCAGCGAGCCTGACCACCCGATCCCGTTAGTCGACGAGTGCTGGCAATGGTAAGACATTATGGTCTCCTAGAGGAGGTACCCGGAAACAAAACGAGTCATGCCTGCCCTTGCGTTGTAATCACAAAACACAAAAAGACGTCTTTTATTAACTTTAAATATTTTGATAGCCCATGTTGGTCTTTTTAGTTTTTATATTCCACTTCGTGTCTTTCTCAGTTCCGCTAGTCTAATTTCGCTGGAACTTGCGATCGAGAATTCTCAGAGACCTCATTGTCACAGGTTGGTGTCAGTGCGGGTGTTTCCATCTAAGTCTCCGTGAATGCTGAGCAGCATTTCATCATCACTCTCATCAAAGTTAAGTTCGTGTTTTGCTGCAACCAGTTCACAGATTTTCAATGACGGACAACTTTCTGGCTATATTTCTTCCGAGGAGATAAAATTCCATCAACCGGCAACTTTCTTCCTTCAGAGAAACAACTACTCCGGTCGTAGCTAGACTAACGCTTAGTCCCTGAATATATATAATTTTGATAGCAACAAACAAACCCATATTTATTGAGAGCAGAGATTCAGAACCTGAGGAAATCTAGACTTGCTTCATTATGACTTTAGCAGTGCAGAGAGGGCTTGGCAGCAGGGAAAATAATGTGGTTCAGGGACTGTGAGACAGACTAGGTCGTAGCAATGGTGCGTTTGATAACGACTGGGAAGACTAGAATGGCGTATATATAGCGACGTCATGCAAAAAGCGTACTATTGCCTGTTAAAGTACTGTCGACGTCTTTGATCCTTTCGGGAAGCATTTCAGAATCACATAACTTATTGTACTGGACACTTTTGGGTCCAAGCAGAAAGCAAACGTACCGGAAGTCCACATTGTCCTTAGTATGTATGGGGATCTACCTTCAGTTGTTGACAGGCGCGTAGCAAGCCAATTTTTTCGTGTAAGCCCGATAGGTTACAAAGTTTCATATTTAGATAGTATTGAGGGCTTACCCAGCCTTTTTAGCAACAGTCATGTGTAAGCCCGGGCTTTTTTATTATGGAAGCTACGCCCCTGGTTGACGATCTGTAGCCTGTTATATTGTCTATAGTTTTAGATTTGCATGCTAGTTTTACACCAGTCTGTGATTTTCTGGTTGTTTTTAATGTAGTTCGTCAACAGGTTTTTATATGTTCTCGGTTTATGTGTCATGAATGTATCACTTGTTTTAGTCACTATATGGCTGAAATACTGCCGATGTGACTTAGTCTAGAAATCTTCACTCACTGTTTGTTTCGTTTTTAATTATTTGGTCTAGTTCCATATTATGCTGTTCGAAAGGAATGTGGGTGATCTCGCTTTGACCTGATAGGGTCATTTGCTATCGTCGGGTGTACACAAGGACAGTCACATAGCGTACAGGGATACCGCTCTTGAACTGCCCATTTACATAAAGATCGATTTACACAAAACATGTCAATTATTACTTGTGGACAATGAATTAGCTGGTAGAAAACAAAGATCCTATCCACAAAGCGTACGTAGCACTACGCTATTCGTAAGTCAATGATATAGTATAGAGTTACGATAAGTCGTCAGGCAACAAACGCTTTGTGGATCGGGAAGCAGAACGGGAGGAAAATGTTAAACACATCTGGGCAACATTCGTACAGCTGTATGTTACACAGGTAGGTCGGAAATATTTAATTGGTTCAAAGTCGGTCTCATTCTTTGTACAGTTACACTTTAACTCCCAATGTAACCATAATGAACTTTTGGTAGACCGAGAAATGAGCATTCCTACCACAGTTGTTTTTATCCTTGTGTTCCGCCGAATCTTTCTTGAACCCGAAACTGAGACTCGAGACGCTACACTGTGCGCATGTTCCTACAGGGCACTGCGAGGACAGATCGTCTTGGCAAAGATGACTTGTTGGAGCAGACATATGGTTTTGGAATGAGAATAGCTGCTTTTGATGGTAGATAAAAGAGCATGCAAAGCGCGGCAGTGTCGTTCTGTGCGTGCGCTACTTCTTAAGATGACGTCAGTGCACGTGAAGAATCTTGAATGACGTCATAGCACGTGTCAGATAACAATTCACAGAGATGACGTCATAGCACGTGAACGAGAATTGTATTTGAACGATCGAATAGACCGATCCAGTCTGTCAATCAAAACTGGCGCATGCGTCAAATTTGGCCAATCAGCAGGCCGGGCGCGCTGTGTTTTGTCGGACTTATTTCCGGGGTCAAACGATGCCTCCGAAGCGATGTGCTTTGAATTATGCCATTTACACTCGCTATATTTATTACATATTGCTGTGATTTGATGTGTACCTTTAACAAAACCATTACGGTCAAGACAACAAAAATGGAGGCGGATCAAGAAACGCGATAGGCCTAACGATCAGTTAAATGTCGGCACCATCGTTCAGGAAACCTACGTCTGCCTGCTGATGAGAATTTGCACGAATTTCCACACTTTTGCACATGTGCAAAATCATTACCAATTGATGACAACAATTAGCAGTTTAAGACTTTGCAAGTGTTATAAACACGGACAATTCTTGTAACTACAAAATTGTTTTTGCATTGAGTTGGTACGCCATAAAGCTCAAATGAGACAGGCGAGAAAGCCGTGACACAATGTAAACAAATCTCCATGTCGGTTACGGTCAACCGAAATAGCAAAACTTGTTACATGAAAGAACAATGTGGCGGATATTGTCCCCTTCGCTCTTAGATATTCTTCAATTTGTCACACATTTTAGGATGTTTTAAGTTTCATAAGCACAATCTGAAGGCCTACAATATCTTGTTAACAGAGCAAAATATTCGAGGAGTAATATTTTTTATCCAAACGGAAATATTGTCAGTGTCAGCAGTTGCCTATCATGCAATATCCAAGTATCAAAATTAATTCATATGAGTGCCTATAAAACCATGCTTTAAATATTTCAGCTTTTTTATAAAGAGTTGCATGGGACTTTGAGTTGAATTACCTTCCTCCATGCTGATCGAATACGAAAACTATGTGAGAAGAATAGTGATCGACTTTCTGGAGTATTGGACGGAGTGAAATAAAGTGTATATCTTAATTATGAGAACATTATTTGAAGTTTTGTTACCACATAAATTATTCACATATATTGGTACATTTTAGGAGTAATATTACAACTGTAATTTTGATTAATTCACTGGAAATGATAGCAAGGTATGTTTTAAGAATCTGGCTTTTTTTTTAGTAAACGTGGAAGGGTAATAAAATTAATAATAATCTAATCAATAATAAATAATTATTTAATTGATTGACATATCAGATTCTTATGATTTTAAGGCAGAACTAGGCAAACAAATACCATACATATCATGGCAGGACAATCACTTGGTATTAACTTAGTTTCTTGGCTCCTGCTTTTAGACGTTTTTTTAAATACTACATTTACTAATAAGATAATTCTGAAAGTGATTGCTAGTATCATAACTCATTAAAGTTATTTCAACATCAAGAGAATTTGAAAAAGCAAAGGCTACGTTTTGGTCAAACCCTGGTCAGGCATTATCCAGTCCTGGAACAGAATAACTTACAATAATCTCAGTTGACTTTTCATGTAACGGAATAAATATTGAAACATATATTTAACCCATATTTGATGTAATTCTGATAAATCATCAGTTTTTTAGGAGGTTATCAATATTGAAGACTGAGCCAAAGCTATTATAGTGTTTATTAAGATGATGGATTTTGACAAATTGTTCAAGGTTTGTTGATGGTTATTTGTTTGAAAATGAGCTTCATATTCAATTGCACACTGGTTTGTAGGAGGTGAATGCTTCAGGACATTTTCATGTCTGTTTTCCTAAATAAAACCTTTGTTATGACTTTTACCAAATTTTGAATCAACTTTAATATAATTTTTATGACACCAGTATGTATTTGATTCAGAAAAGGAAATAGATCAAAATCAGTGTTATGTCCTCTAGGGATATGGTCTCAGATCTAATAAAACAAA